CTGCAGCGCCGGCCGCGCCTGGGCCCTGGGGGCGGGGCGGCGCCCACGGCCTGCGCCGCCGCGGCCGTCCCCACGGCCGCCGGCGGCGCGGCCGCTGGCGCAGCAGCTGCGGCGGCCGCCGCCGCGGCCCTCGGCGACCCCCCGCGGCGGCAGCTGCAGCCGCAGCAACAACAGCAGCAGCAGCAGCCGCAGCAGCAGGGCAGCAGCAGCAGCAGCAGCAGCAACAACAGCCGCATCAGCAGCGGCAGCAGCCACAGAACCCAGCAGCTGCAGCAGCAGCAGCAGCAGCAGCAGCAGCAGCAGCAGCAGCAGCAGGGCAGCAGCCGCAGCAGCCACTGCAGCAGCAGCAGCTGCAGCAGCAGCAGCAGCAGCAGCAACAGGGCCCTGCAGCTGCATCAGCAGCACCCCCCGCAGCAGCAACAAGAGCCACCCAGCGACCACAAGAAGAACCCACGAGAAGACGCAGAGGTACCCGTGCTCCCTCAGCAGCAGCAGCAGCAGCAGGGCAGAGACAAGGAGAGGGAGGTCACGGCGGAGTCGGCGGAGGCTGCGGAGGACGCGGAGTATCTGGGGACCGAAGCGACGGAAGCCTCGGAAGGTGCGGAAGTGGCACAAGCCTTCACTCGTGTCTCTGGATTAGAACCGGGTGGACAGGGGATGGCCCCCGAAAGTGCTGACGGTAGCCGCAACAGTCAGCTAAGCGAGACCCGAGAACAGCAGGGGCTCGCCTGCCGCACCGCGCCACCCCCGCCTCCCCCTCAGAACAATCAGACCGCCAGCAGTCCTCTGGGAGCGTCGCAGACCCAGCAGGGGGACCGCGGACCAACCTTCCAGACGCAGGACAGCGAAGCCATCCACTGGCTCGTCGGGAGGAACCCCTTCGCGCCTATTCGCCCCCCTGCCCCTGTCAGTGAACCCATCCTCATGAGCGGCGAACCCCAGGCGCCCTCTCCAGACGTCCAGGGCACGACTGGCAAAGAACCTCGCGCGGCGGCAATGGAAGCTGCGTCGCCGCGCGTGCGCGCGCCTGGCACAACCAGTGGTTCCCCAGAGACCGGAGAGAGTCCTGCGCTGACCGAAGGGGGCGCACCTGGGAGCGACGGCGGGCACAGGCCCGAAGGCGAACGCCAGCGAAAGGGGCCTCCCCCCACGTGCCACAGGGCAGCGCCCGCCCCGGCAGCCGGACACGATCCGACCCCCGCCTGGCGGCCAACCGCGCGGCCTGCTTCTCCCCGCAGAACCCCGCCAGGCGCGCAGCCGGAACTGTCGCGTGCAGATCGCGAGCCATCCGGCCAGGACACCGAGGCCGGCACGCTGGAGACTTGCGGCCAGGATACACGGCAGCACCAATGGCCTGACCCGCGACAATGGCCAGAGCCCAAGGACCCCGACACGGGACAGCAGCTGTACAAAACAGAAATCGACGACATCCAGCGGGACCTCCCCGGGGAGACACCCGGCGAGGCGATGAGACGACTCCAAGTCACACTGGGGCCAATGTTCACTGGCACCTGGCACGCTTTCGCCAAGCGGCAGTCTGTGCCCGGCAGCAAGGGCGCGCTCGACCCGCTTCGGCGCGACCCGCAAACCTGCCGCCTCTTCTTGGGCATTTTTTCGCAGCCACAAGTGCGACGTACGGGTCGTCAGTGACGCGATGGGCCTCCGCATCGAAGCGGCGGAGTGAGCAGCGATCACCACGCGGCAAAGGGCCACCCGAACAACCAGGCCCCCAAGAAGCGCAAAAAACAGTGGTGGGCCGTCTCCCCACAGTAGCATTTGCTGCCCCCCCTCGTGGCATCGCGCACGCAGGGGACAGGTGCGCGGCGGGTGGTCACTGGCAGCAGGCCCGCTGCTGCCCTGCAAGACGCGGCCTGCGAAAGGGATGCCTCCTTCGCCCCCCCCCGGGCGGAGGCGCTGGCACCCCCCCAGGTGGCGCCTCCGACGCTGGCACACTCAGTGTGTGAAAGGGAGTGTATACTCTGCGGCTGTTGGCTGCACCCCCAGTGTGAGTGGAAGTGCGATCTCTGCGGCTGTTGGCTGTGCCACCCATCTCCGCGAGAGCGAGTGTGTCTCGCGGCGGTTTGCTGCACCCCCCTCATGCGCAGATGTTCTCGGCGCGCAGCTGCTGTCAAGATACTTGGATGTCCTATCATAGATGGGGCTCTCGCAGACGCACTCTGCTGGCCCACATTTTGCATCGGTATCGCACTCGTGGGGGTCAGGTGCGTGGAGGGGGGTCTCTGGCAGCAGGCCCGTTGCGGCACTGCTAAACGCGGCCTGCGGGAGGGATGCCTCCGGGCCTACTACCGGCCCTGGACGCACGCGGGGGCTGCTGTCCCTCTGACCCAGGGCCGCCCGCGGGGGATCAAGGCACCCTTGCATCCCCGTTCTGGCTGCTAAGGGCCTTTCATCGCCTCCCTCCCGTGATCGCTGCGTCTTGACTGCCACCGGGCACTGGTTTGTGGCTGCTGTGTGGGCAGCCCCCCCTCATCCTATGCTCCGTGCGTGCTGCTACCAAGACATGTGTACATTGCGGCTGTTGGCTGCACTCCCCTTCCGCCACATGTGGACAGATTCAGCCCTGGCTACGCCCCAGTGCTCCATGGGCTGGTCGTGGCAGCTGTGGATCTCGGCGACGTCTGTGGCCGTTACCTGCGAGGCGGCAGTGTACCGGCCCTTGGGCCAGTGTGCGTTCCTCTCATCGTTGCAGCTTCTGCCAGTCATTGGTTTCGGATACGATGGCCGTCGCGCCGGCCCCCCCCCCAGCGACATGTGTACATTGCGGCTGTTGGCTGCACCCCCCTCAGATCGACACATGTGTACATTGCGGTTGTTGGCTGCACCCCCCCTCCACTTCGTGGTCGGATTCAGCCCTGGCTGCGCTCCAGCGCCCCATGAGCTGGTCGCAGCAGCTGCGAATCTCGGCGGCCATCGTGGCCGTTACCTGCGAGGTTGCAGTGTACCGGCCCGTGGGCCAGCGTGTCCTCTCTCATCGTTGCAGCCCCGGCCAGTCACTGGTTTCGGATACGATGAACGACACGCCGGCCCCCCCCGGGCAGCGGTGTGGTCCGTGGAGTAAGTGCTCTGTTGGTACCTGCCGTTCCTCTGCCCACTCTGTGGTCAGATTCAGCCCTGACTGCGCTCCAGCGCTCCATGAGCTGGTCGCGGCTGCAGCGTACCTTGGCGACATTCGTGGCCGACATCCGCAAGGCGGCAGTGTACCGGCTCTTGGGCCTGCGTGTCCTCTCTCATCGTTGCTTCCCTGGCCTGTCACTGCTTTCGGAGACGATGACTGACACACCGGCCCCCCCCCGGGCAGCGGTGTGGATTGTGGAGTGAGTGCTCTGTAGGTCCCTGCCGTTCTCTGCCCCTGTCCCCGCCGACCCCGCGTACGGCGGTGGTACGGACTTCGCGCTGAGTGGTTCAGCCTTCAGCGTTGTAGTTTCGGTTCTCCCTTCCGCCTTCGGCTAGGGGAGCTGCTCGGAACTTGGCGCCGACAGGGCGACTTTCTCCGTTGCACCCGCACTGCTGTCTGCTTCACTTCGGTGTGGCCGGCGCCTATGTGCGTTTGCCTTAATGCGGCGCATTTTGCTCAGTGCATGTGCACTCCACGCATCGCGTGTAATTTGCCGTGTTCCGTTGCCCCGAACATCGCTGCTGCCGGCTGACCTTTGTCGCGCGGCCGCCGACCAAAAAAGTAGCCCCACCAGCTCATTCAGAAACGATGCCCAGGCGAGTTGCCCTGATCAGGGATGTGGAGGAGGATGCAGTGGAATAAAAGGCAGGGGAAGCCGTCATACCCCACGCGGGGTACGATGGGAGGAGGAGGAGGAGGCGCAGGAGAAGGAGGAGGAAGGAGGGGGAGGGGGAGGGGGATGAGGAGGAGGAGGAGGAGGAGGAGGAGGAGAAGGAGGGAGGAGGAGGAAGAGGAAGAGGAAGAGGAGGAGGAGGAGGAGGAGGAGGAGGAGGAGGAGCAGGAAGGCGAGTCGACAGGTCAGAGGCCTCGTGGATGCCTCTCGCAGTCTCTTCGGATGCCTCTTGAGAGCTTCTTGGGGTCCTCTTGGGGGGTCTTGGGTGCCTCGGTGGAGCCTCTTGGGGCCTCTCGGGGCTCTCTTAGGAGTCTTTGGGGGCCTCTTGGGGTTTCTTGGGGCCTCCTGGGCGCCTCTTGGGGCGCTTTCGGGGCACTTTCCAGAGCCTTGGGGGCCATCTTGGCGCCATCTGGAGGAGTTCGTTCAGAGAAGGGAGGGTGCTCAATTAGCGCCCCCCCAAATCCCCAGGGAGGCCACAATTAGAATAACACCTTTTTTGAAAATCATGGTTTTTTGCCTTCTCGCTGAGGCCCTCTGGGACGCTCCAACGACCCGCGACCCCCCATCTAGGTCCAGAGGAAGGGGAAAGGGGAGGGGGAAACCCCTCGAAGGGGAAGAACGGGGGTTGGAAGAGGAAGCTCACTAAACCACTCACGCCCTAAGGGGCGGGTGGGATTTGTAATCGACCTTTGCGTTGCATATGATGTGCATGTGTTTCGCAGCATCGTTTGCCAAGTTCGCATGCGCACTCGCACGCTTGTAATTGTCGATGGTATGTTGCTGGAGCGTTGTCTTCGCCGATCGATATTGGATGCGCTGTAGCATGCGGATCGTGGCCATCGCCAGACATGATAATCAACAGACCAGCACGATAGTTTCATTGTTCCACGAACGAGACATTGAATGTCGATGCGAGGAGGGGGGGAGAAGAAGGAAGAGCAGCAACATGAGGGAAGGGAGTGGGGCGGATGAGGGGGAGTTCTACGTACCAAACGCTTTATGACGATGCTATTGTTTGATGATTGGCATACATACTTTGGTGAGCGTCCCGGTCGGATCCCCAGTACTCGGGGACTCGAATTCCGTAGCCATTTAGGCTCAAGTCACGCCTAGGTCCCAGACGTATGAGCGGCGCGGCCACATCACATTCGCGGTGGCCGCGGGGCGCAGTTTTGAAGGGCGTCTTTCGACATGCCTGGCAACAGCAACATCACTTCGCCTTTCGCTTCGCCTCCATCCTCTGCCAGGGATTCGTGGCCCGCGACGCTGGAGTCACTGGGGGAACACCTCGACAATCTGGAGCTCACCTTCGAGCAGCAGTCGCGGCACATGGGCACCCTCCTCGCGCAGTACAAGGCGGCCCTGGCGCAGCACAGGCAGGCTCTGAGCCAGCAGTTCGGGGGCGTGCACCGCCAGCTCGCCCACCCGTCGCAGCTCGGCGCACGGACCCCCACGTGGACGCAGAAGCCCGGGGGCGCAGGCGCGTCCGCGGGCTTCGGCAGGACGGCGGCCCCGGCCCGCTCGCCCACGCTCGCTGCGGATCACGTGCCTGGGCCGCTCCCCGGCTCGACGATGGAGTTGGTGAAGATGCCAGACGCGGACAGTGACGGCGACAGCGACTCGCTTGCATCCGGGATGCAGGGCTGCGGCATGGCCAGCGAGGACTATGACAGTGGCAAGGACATGCTCCATGCCGAGCCAGGTTCCCTGCAGCATATGGCGATTAAGCTGACCTCTCACTGCGTATGGCCAATCGTCACCACGACCATCGTCATGCTGCAGACAGTCGTGCTCGGCATCGTCGTGGACGCGCAGATGCAGGAACTTCTCGGAGACCAGAGGCGAGGGCACTGGACCTGGACGGCTACCTTTTATGAACAGGTTGCGAAAGGGCTCATCGTGGTCTGGATGGTTGAGATTTCGATAAAGTTAGTCGCAGAAAGGAGCCGGTTCTTCGAACGCGGGTCGTCTGGTTTGGGCAACATGTTTGAGGTGTTCTTGTTGTCGTGCGCTCTGCTAGATCTGGCGCAGTCTTTTATTCCTCTGGGAGGTCGTATGATTCAGTGTGTTCAATTCCTCCGGGTGTTCAGGGCCTTCAGGCTCATTCGTCTGCTCAGTGTTTGCCAGCATTTCAAGGCTTTGCACCAGTTGCGTTGGATGACGTTGTACATTTGACTTGCATACCGACTTTCGGTTGGGCACTGGCGTTGCTAATCATGTTCATTTTCATTTGGGCGATCCACTTCGAGGACCTCGCGATATTTTACTTGGAGCAAGACTCAGTTGACAGGAGCGACGAGGTGGTAGATGATCTCAGAGAAAATTGGGGATCCATGAATATTGCAATGATTTCGTTGATATTCTCCCTCACTGGTGGTGCTGACTATGGCGACCTCATGAAGCCGTTCCAGATGATCAGCCCCGCTGTCGGGTGGATCTACATACTCTTCGTAGTTATGGTGTCCCTTTGTCTCCTCAACGTGCTGGTTGGCATTTTTGTGCAGGAGTCGGAGGACATACTTACCTGGGACCGCAGTATAGTGTTGACGAATGCAGTGAACAAGAATGGTTTCACAGAAGACATCTTGAAGCAGCTGTTTCATGAGATCGACAAGAACAAAACTGGGTCAATCAGCCTGAAAGAGATGCAGACGGCCATCGAGCAGCCATCCATACGGGCGTGGTTTCTACACCTCGAGATCGACATGGCCACCAACGCGAAGGTTTTCTTTGAGCTCCTCGACGAAGACCTCAGCGGCTTTGTAAACGAGCAGGAGTTCGTGACTGGCTGCACCAGGCTCAAGGGCGGTGCGAAACCCCTGAGTTTGGAGAGCCTCGTGATCGAGACTAGGAAGCTAATGGAAGTTGTAAACCGCATGGACGCAAAGCTGGATGTCAGCGGCTTTACCGGGCGTGCGATGTCTCCTCGCTAGGCGTCTTGGGGCCTGGGCAGCTCTAGTTCGCCGCTGCGCGCTCGTTCTGTGGCGGCGGGCGCTGTCTCACATTATTGGTCAGACCGGCTCCTTTCCCATCAAAAAAAAGTATTCGGGGACTCGAATTCAGAAATACTCCAACTATCGACTTTGAGCCCGAACGCCCAGACGACCAAGTCACTAAATTCGAGAACCTTGCTTGCCAGTCGCACCAAGTCTGACGGCTCTGTGCAATATTCGAGCCATATACATGCCAAGCACTTCTTCTCCATTCATCTAGTGCCAAAGGTTTCTCGAACTCTGGCCCCCGACTCAAGGTGTCCTGAGCATTCATCTGCACACGACAATGCGTCGGCTCTGGCTCTCGAACTCCTGGCTCCCGAGATCCATCGTCGTAGACTGGGGGGGAGCTGGCGAGACAATCGTCGCGCCGCCTCCTGACCCCTTCACTTGCAGCCCTTCGGCCCTCTCTCTCTCTCTCTCTCGCTTTCTCGCTTTCTCGCTCTCTCGTTCTCTCGCTCTGTCGCTCTCTCGCTCTCTCGCTCCCTCTCTCTCTCTCTTTCTCTCCCTCTCTCCCTCTCTCGCCCCCTAACTCCTTGCACATTTCCACTTCCTGTCGTCCTCTTCCTCAATCATCTTTCTCTCCTTTCCCTCCCGCTCCCGTTTCCCCTTCCCTGCGCTCCACGGTGCCTTTCCGCTGCCTTCCCCTCTTCCCTCCCCTTCCCTTTCCTTCCCTCCCATTCCCTCTCCTTGTCCCTTTTCTCTTCTCATTTCCCCATTCCGTGCCCTCCGTGGACGGGCGGGCGTGCACGGACGAGGCCCCTGACCGCGAGCAACGATTCCACAGAGATCCTGTACACGCGGGTGCAGCGCTTCATGGACATGGAGAACCAGCTCAAGAAGCCGCAGCAGCCTCCTCTCCTGGCGCTGTCTTCTCGCATCGCGTGGCGGCGGCAAGGGCGGGAGACCTGCGGGGAGGGGCACGGCTTGGGAGAGGAGGGGGTGGGGGAAGGCAGGGCCCGCACGGTTGCGGAAATCGATCATCGCCCCCCTGCCTTTGGCCCTTAGCATACATGCTATCTCCCCTTATAGATTGTTCTTGTTGTGCCCTCCCTCGAGCGCGGATGCATCTTCTTCAGGCGCACGCACGCACGCGTAAAGCGGCATAACCGGCGCATGCAAGTTTATGAATTCATGCGCGCATCCGACCGTGGTCCCACGTGAACCCCTCGGCCTCCGCCCCTTGTCGGCGCTGGGTTTGGCTCTTTTTGTCGCTCGTGTTGCTCAAGGTACTGATCGACCCGAGCCATCTACTTCTCGCTGCATCAGGCTCAAATCCAAGCAGTCTCGGGATAGATTCCATGACATCCTCGATCGCAGCGCTTCGAAATTGTTCGGCTCTGGCATGGTCCCGCTCACGCCGGAATCTTGGTGGCCGTTTTTGCACGTCACCATCGCCATGCGCGCGCCGCACCTCCAGCGGTTGTCGCTTGCGCTTCTGTCGGGGAGACGTAAGACTCGAGTGAGCCGGAACTCGGGTTTGCCGATCTTTTTTTGACGAGCGCGCCCTGGATTTTGACGGTCCCGTCTTCGTGGGACGTCTGCAGCGGGAGCCCGCGTCAAATTTCAGATTGGGTCTCGCCATTTTTATGGTGACGCCCTTCAGGCCCACCCGAGTCCCCCGTTCGGGGACCAAATGCGAACCCTACCCCTACCCCCCACGACTTCAGAGGGGGAGGGTGGGGTTCACTTCGTTCGGGAGCTCCCCAGCGAAGTGAACCCCACCATCCCCCTTCGAAATCGTGGGGGGTAGGGGTAGGGTTCGCCTGTGGCCCCCTACCCGTACCCGAGACTTACGCCTCCCCGATTATGGGAGGCGGGCGGCCGACCGCTGCGGGCTGTGCTCGCGGCAGCCAGCTTCCCCGTGCCTCGGCGGAGGCACCCTGGGGCGGGGCGCCGCGGCACGCCGCGTGGCCCATCTCTGTGCCTCGCGCGGCGTGTCGGCCGCGAGGGCACGCCCTGTGTTTTCAAGTTGCCACCTGTGAGATTGACACCAGCACCAAGATCGGCGGTGTGCCTCCACCGAGGGAAGACGATCCCGATCTCGGTGATGGTGTTAACATTCTGGCCTCCAAGGTGGCCGAAATATTACCACCAACACCGAAATCTAAGATCATCATCTCCCTGTGGAGGCAAACCCCTGTGCTGGTGTTGGTGCCAATTTCCAGGCCTCCAATTCTGGGCGGGCGTCACTCATGGCACGGAGCCGCACCGATTCCTGGACGCGATCTGCAGTGATGCAGCCAGGACCGAGTTCTGCAAGATCGGCTGGCACGAGGCCCCGCCATACGCCGAGGAGCTGGGCGAGGCATCAAAAGAGTCCGTCTCGCAGCACTTAGCGCGACAGCGGCTCTGTCCACTTCTGCCTCGCCTTGGGCCTGCGCGGCGTGATTGGCCGCACCCCTACCGGCTCTTCCGCGACAGCGTGTCGGGAGACTCTCCATGGGGACTCTCCATGGGATCCCCAGGGGATCCTATGGGATCCCCTCCCTGGGATCCTATCCCCCCATGGGATCCCCCCCATGAAGAGTCTCCCGATCGTGGGGGCGAGTTGGCAGCGCGCGTCCTCTTGCTCCGGAAGACGGGCTCCCCGTGCCCATTGGCCCAGCAGGGCTCGACGCCCCCTGGAGGGGCTTTCCGTCCGTCCAGATGATGTAGGCCTGGCATCGCTCGGACGTGTGCATTTTTTTCCGGCGAGGACCATCGAGGAGCATCCTTGATCATTTGGCGAAAAAACCACGCACGAAACCGAAAAAAGCACAGGGAATGGACGTCCGAGCGATGGCCAGTAGGCGTGCGTGGCGTGGGATGGTGCGCCCCAGAACGGGGCGTGGACTCGGTCGCATTGCTGGATTTAGACAGGTGGACTGTGTCCTCCCCGCTCATCGTTCCGTGATGGATGCCGCGAGCCCTCTCTGCCTCGAACGGGGCACCGTCATCCTGGATGTGTGCGAGGTGCGTTGAGGGTCACGGGGTTGATGGCCAATCCTTGGGCCCCAGTTACTTTTCTGTCGCTTCTCTTGGGCGTATTCGTTCCGTTCTCCAGTACAATTTTCATGATTTACTCTGCGACGTTTCTGCGGAAACCACCAGAGTGGCCTCAATGCGCACGGCTTCTGGACGCGCTGGCTGCTCTTAGCCCACTACATCCCCCCGCGAGCTGACAAGGGCCAGCCCCCATTTCGCTTCCAATCCCACTCCTCGCCCCTACCAACCCCCCATACCCATTTCCGCTCCGCCTCCGCGTCCTCCCCCTCCTGCACATTGTTGTGCTGCTGCCGCTTCTCCGCCTCCGCCCCCCCACTTCTGATGGGGCTCATGCCACCTCCTCCTCCTCCTCCTCCTTCTCCCCCCCCCTCCCTGCTGCCTCTTCCCCACAGGCTCGCCAGCGCCAAGGACGCGGACAGGGAGAGGGAGTCGTCGCAGAAGCCGAAGGAGAGGAAGATCTCCGACCTGGCGCGCGCCATTGGGGAGGTTCCTCACCGTGTGGGAGGGCGAGGGCGAGGGTGAGCGCGCCAGGGGAGTTGGGGGAGGGGGGGGGGGGAGTGGGAGGAGGGGAGCGGGAAGATGGGAGCGAGGGGAGGGAGGAGTAGGGGCTCACCAGTGGGCGACGCCATCAGGAGAGGATGGGCAACGGAAGGGCATGCAGCGTGGGGAATCGCAGGGAGGAGTGACGATGGCAGCGTTGCGAGGACGAGGACGAAGACGGAACGAGGGCAAGGAAAAGGACAAGGACGAGGCGGACGAGGACAAGAAGAAGATTAGGGGAGGGGAGAGCCTGGAGAAAAGCACGCAGATAATTGCAGAATCAGTGATGGAGTGCCAGCCACTTGGGTTCGCGTGTCAGCGAAACTATGGAGAGCAAAGTGGGGATGCAGAAAGTGCAAAGACGGGTGAATGAGGGAGATACCGGAGGGATAGGATAACCTCGGAGGTGAAGTAGAAGGAGGAGGAAGAAGACGATGATGATGATGATGATGATGATGATGATGATGATGATGATGATGATGATGATGATGATGATGATGATGATGATGATGATGGTGATGGTGATGGTGATGGTGATGATGATGATGATGATGATGATGTTGATGATGATGATGATGATTATGATTATGATAATGGTGATGACGATGATGATGATGATGCTGCTGATGATGCTGATGATGATGCTGCTGATGATGATGATGATGATGAGGATGATGATGATGATGATGATGATGATGATGATGATGATGATGATCATCATCATGATGATGACCGCGCCGACCTTTTCAGCGTCTCCTGCGCTCCCGCACCGATCAAAGCACCGACTCCCGCGCGGACCAGCTCACCGATATTTCCCACCCCAGCGCCGACTCCAATTCGAACGCCGACCCCCGCGGCCATGCCGACGCTGGAGCCTCCGCGGACAGCCACGGTGGCACAGACGAGCCTCTGCTAGTGCCAACGCTGGCACCGACGCCAGCGCAGAAGCCAGCACTGAAACCAGCACCAATGCCGACGCCTACGCCGCACAAGCACTGGCACCAACAGTGCCGACGGCAGCACCGACGACAGCACCGGCCTCGTCGCCTACAGCAGCACCTGAAGCACGCCATGACGCCAACTACAGTACGAGATGCGGTACCCCCTGGATTCCCGTGGCGCTGTGCCCCCGTGTGTCCCCGAGGCGCTGTACCCCCTTGAATTCCCCAGGCGCTGTACCCCCTTACGTTCCCGACTATAGGGCATTTCAGATTCTGGCGTGCCAGCCCATCGGCTATCCGCTGGCCCATCCCTCCGCTTTCCCACCACCACCACCACCACTTACCAAGCACCAGTCGCCACCAACTCATCCTCTGCTCCGGGGGGGGCACGATTTGTCCGCCCCATAGGTGCCGACAGGATGCACCGTCACACTGTCAGGACGCAGCACATTTTTGGAATTCCAGTGGGTC